TGTAGATTCGAATCAAGTGTAACATACTTGACTCAAGTATATTTTATTCTTGAATCAGGTTTACTCTGTTAGAATTTTTTGAAATTCCATGGAAGATATTAGAGTAAATCGCATAGACTCTTTATAGACTTGAATCTAGTTTAATATACTTGATTCAAGTATATTTTATACTCGACTGGGGGATGGGTTTTTCAATTCGAGGATGATTATTTCGTATCAGCCCGAGTTGTACAACCGCTCTCAAGTGTAATATAAGGATCAGACACTAAATGTGAGAATATAAGAGTCAAAAAGTGGAGGTTAAAAAATGAGGGTCGGAGTATTAGAGTCATAAACTGAGGGCCTGAACGTAAAGGTGAAGAAATGAGGGTCAGAATATTGGGATCAAAAAATTGGGGTCAGAATATAAAAGTAAAAAAGTGGGTGTCAGGCAATGAGTGTCATATAAGGGCTAAAAGGGGTGATCAAAGATAATATATGACTCACATTTAGACCTTCATTGCCTGACACCCACTTTTTTTACTTTTACATTCTAACCCTAATGTTTTGACCCTAATATTCTGACCTTCATTTTTTAACCTCCACTTTTTGACCCTTATATTCTAACACTTATATTAACTTACGAGGTCTTGCTACAACCCGACCTGATACAAAAGAATCTTCGAATTTTCGAATTGAAATACCCATCCCCCAATTGAGTAAAAAATTTACTTGAATCAAGCGTCATCCGGTTCAATTTCGGAAGATTTAAAACAAATTTTTGTAAAAATTCAACAAATTTCCGATCGAAATCATATTTCAAAAGTGTTTACTCGTATGCCGCAGAGTCGAGAAGAAAATGAAAAACAAAGAATGATTAATCGGAAAATTGATTTCATGGTTCGGTTGTGCAATTATAATTTTTGTTCATTGCATAGTTATATTATTAGCCCAACCGGGATCAAATTTTTGAATGTTCCATTTGTACTTTTGAAACACTGTTTTCAATGCTTTCCATTGAAAAATTTAACAGTTCTGCTACATGCATTCATATGCGGCGTCATTAGTAATAAAATCATTCTACAATGAGTCAAAATTTTGGTGCTCCCCTGAAACAATTATTCCATGAGTATTAACGGCGTAACAGCAGTTGGTGTTGTGCAGAGATACGTTCCGAGTTTGATAAACTCGCGGAGCTTACAAATGAAAACGTACAAACATTAATTAGTTCTATACTTCGGTACTTATGTTGTTACGTGGCAAAATAGCATTATGAGTAGGTCTTTGATATGACTATTCACCGCAGGAAGTGTGTACATCTGTCATAAAAGTTTTTTACATTAAGCGGGAGGGGGAGAGGTCGCATCGCTTTGTTCAAGTACCACAAGTATTTGAGCGACAATTTTGGCAAATTTTTTTTTAATTTCTTCTTTACGTAATCATGACATTTTCATTTTTCCATAATATTCATTTTTTATTTAACAGAAGGAATTGAGTAATTCCAAATTCCTTACAGTCAATTTTGCGGAAGATCATATCGAATACATGAAAAAAAATTCGTTGAAAAATGTTTTTTACATTAAGCGGGAGGGGGAGCGGTCGCATTCCTTTTCTCAAGTACCACAAGTATTTGAACGGAAATTTTGCCAATTTTTTTTCAATTTCTTCTTTACGTAATCACAACATTCTCATTTGTCCATAATATTCATTTTTTATTTAACAGAAGGAATTGAGTAATTCGAAATTCCTTACGATCAATTTTGCGGAAGACCATATCGAATACATGAAAAAAAATTCGTTGAAAAATATTAAAACTTGTAGGATTGGTAGGGTTTTTACGAGTTGAAAAAATCGAAAAGTACTCATTTTTTGTAATAAAAAAAATAAAAAATAAATAATTCAATGGATATTATCATCACAGAAAGTTCAACCAATAATCAAATTATAATAAATCTGGAGAATTATATTCAGATTTCATAAGCAGAATAAGTCAGACTCCGTAGATTGGTTCCTCTTTGGAAAATAGAATAGACAAATGTAGGATTTCTTATGGGAAATCGTAATTTTTATTTTATTTCTCGACTTTCAATCTTCAACATTTTTCAACGAAATTTTTTGCGTGCATTCCACATGACTTTCCGCAAAATCAATCGTCTGGAATTTGAAATCACTCAATTCGTTCTATTAAATAAATAAAGAATGTTATTGAAAAATGAAGATTTCACGATATTTATTCATTGTATATATTTATTCATTCATTTCATATTTTTCATATTATTTATTTATTTGAAGATATTGAGAATAGTCTCCACTTTTGTTTCAAATAACGAAGAAATTTTTAAAAAATCGCAAAAATTATCCATCAAATACTTCTGGTCGTCGAAAAAAGTGGAATGACCCCCCCTAATTTAGTATTCATTTTTTTAGCAGAATTTGTGGTGAGGTAGGTACGAGGGAACTGCGAGTCTCTGCACTTTTCATCACTGGAATGCACCGCAGTTGCAAACCGCTCAAAGAAGTGGTTTGAGTATCCCATCGCAAGGAGCCACCGGGGATATTTCAATGGTCCTTCCTCAAGCGTTCTTGATTCGAGATAAGGGCAACTGTGGACGCATTTGTAGTATAGAAAAGACTCATGCCACGAGGAGAATGACAATATCGGAGTATAGCGGGAGGGAGTGCTTGCTATTCTCGATACATGATGTGTCGGAATGAAAGTATATTTGGGATGAGAATTACGGTCTGAAGCAATACAGAAATTTCGTGAGAGGAATATTCGAGTTACAATGTGTGCTGCGACCATGTAGAAGTAAATAATATCGACACCTTAATAACAGACAAGCGTATCTACATATCGGGAACGCATAGAACTTACGCTCGTCTGTTATTAAGGTGTCGATATATTTCAGTAGCGAAGTGGTAAAACGGTTTAGGTCGACTTATCTCGGCGTTGAGTTTTTGAGAAATATTTCCGCATCTAAGGGAGATAGCGAAATTTTCATAATTACATTTGTTGTAGTTCTCAATCGGCTCAACAAAAAAGGTTATAACAAAAATTTTGCCATCTTCCTTAGATTCCGAGATATTCATTGAAAACTGGTCAATAGTCAAAATTGACTTGTACCGTTTTACCACTTCGCTACTGATTTGTGTTACTAGACTTAATAAACCGCGATTCTAACGTCGCTTCGCTCGGCTATAGGTCGCGATTTTCGGGCCTCTGCACGGAGAGAAATTGTTTGGAAAAGTTCTAATGCTGTTAAGGTAAAATTCCTAGGGATTTTAGACTAAATTTCCGGGGATTTTTGTGATTATTTTCCCCATCACCCTTCCGACCAATACAATTGCGGTATTCGATGTCCCGCGGCTCAATCAAAAGGGAATCATATCGAAAATTTAATTGATTAATAATTTCCCATTGTCAAGCATAATTGCAAAAATTGTCGATTTGTGATAATTCTTGATTATTCATCTGCGATAATTTTTAGGGAATATAGGGTAAATTTTACAGTTCCGGCACAAATTACCCTCACGTTCAATAAATTTTTCCGGTCCAATAGAGAAAAATTCATTATTCGGCTCACACTTTTTCCCCGATGTACACTGTTCAAAATTTTCGTCTGAATTTTCCGTGTCAAATTCCGGAAATTTTTATCATGTTTATTTTCCACTGAAATTCCGTTGATTTTTCAGTTCAATTATTCCATGAAAATTTGGAAAAATTGAAAATCAATTGTATCCCAAATAGGATTCTCACGATGTCATTAGTTCGGATATTATCTTCCGATATCATTCAAATCACGAGACGAGCATAGGAATATGTGTCAAACGTGCATGGGGACAAATGAGCGAGCGTAGGAACATGCACAAAGAGAAATATTCAATAACAATTACGTATCTTTTTCGTAATTCCGGAGCGAAATATGATTGTAGAAAATTTTACGGAACTGTCGCATAACTTTCACTTAAAATCACGGAATTTTCCCAGAGCGTTCTGTAATTTTTACCTGAATCTCCTGTGAAAAATTACGATACCGCCACTCAAATTTCGTATATTTCGCGAGTTCCGTAATTTTTACTGAACATTTCTTCCGTGTGGCACTTTCCACGTTTATGGACGATTATTTGGTTAATTGAAAATCCGTTTTATGAAAGTTAGTATTATTTACTCAATAGACAATTGACAATTCCATATTATCAATTATTAATTCGTCTTCAATCGGAAATTGAGATTATCAATTATTATACTATTGTTGAATTGCAATGCTTACATGTAAACCTTAAGGGCAGATCACCATGAGTTTTAAAAGTCGTGGGTTATTGGAGTGAGACTTTTCATACGTTGAAGATCGATTATATAGATCTGAAAACCAGTAATTAGTGCAAAAAAAAATTTTTTTATTGTTTGTTTGCCCGAAAACGTTTAAAATTCTAAACACAGTCCAGGGCCTCCAATTTTTGAGCTACAAAAGATTTTTTTTTTCAAAATTTTCTGAAAAATGTGTGAAATAACAATTAAGAGCCAGTTTTTTGAAATTCGGCTCCTACACAGCTGATTTCGGGTTTTTTCATATAAAAAAATTCACTATTTGTGTAAAAAAATACAAAAAAAGCAAATTTGGCCATGTGTGAGGTGAATTAAAAAAAAATAGCTCGTAATTGTTATTCCACATATTTTTCCGAAAATTTTGAAAAAAAAAATTGGAGGCCTTGGACTGTTTTTGGCATTTTAAGCGTTTTCGGGCAAACGAACAATAAAAAATTTATAATTATTCGTTTTCAGATCTATATAATCGATCTTCAACGAAAGAAAAGTCTCACTCCAATAACCCACGACTTTTAAAACTCATAGTAGTCTCCCCTTAATCAATATAAGGTTCAAATTTTCTGAGCATTGAAGAATCCGACGATCGATGGCCGTCCCTGTCAAGTCATCGTTCATATATTTCGAAATAATCAACTTTGACAAATGTTTAATTAACCTGCTAATTAGCAAGAGATCTTATTAATCATTATCTTACTGATGGATTCTCCACAAAGCTCATAGCTCTCACGATAACCGGATTCTGTGCGAAAACCAGTTCCTCCTCATACACACTCTCCCTCTCGGTATCCTCGTCCTTAGTGTCATCTTCAGCCAGAGACCCTAAACTGTTGTACCACTGGGCGCTCCTCGCTCTGTGGGGTTTCTTCTCGTGACTGCGGTTCAGGGAATTGCTGAAGCTCAAGCTCCTCCGTATCGGTTGTAGTCCCCGATTTATCGCCGCCGGTAAGTCAGCGCTCCCCCGCATGAAGGCGCCGAGTTTCTTCCTCAGCGAGGGCTTTCTCTCCAGATGCGAATTGTCACCAGTCTGCTCCAGTTTCGAGAATGCAATTTCACCCGGATTGACAATTTTCTGACTCCTCCGCGTCTCCAGAGAATTCCTCATGCTGAATTTGCCTTCGGGTTTCTTCTTCTTTGCATCCCTGTTCAGAGTCATTTTCCCTGATGACGAAATCCCCCTGATGAAATATCTACTCTCAATTTTTTACGACACGACACTGTGTCCACATTAAACCACTAATTCTCGAATGTATCCACGTGTGGCTTATTTACCCAAATGTGAAATTCCCCGAAAGCCTCCACCACTCCTCAACTCTCAGTTCAAATTCCACCAGACAATTTCGACGATTCCCATAATTTCCATGATTGATCACCGCCGAAAGTGTCACCAGCTTGAATAACATCCAAATGGAATTTGTAATGAATCCCCAATGGATTCCACATTAAGCACTTCACGCTGCTCCCGGTTTAATCACCTTTCAATTTCATTTTAATGTAATTACGTAAACGCACGATATGCTGAGTGCCACTATGTTTTTCACCGCAATAATTCGGCGAAGCCAAAAGGGCTATTTTATTTTTTTACGAATGCACTATTTACGACACCACTCTATTTCACTGCATCTCCGGATGTCAATTTAACCTGTCATTTCTTTCGGCTAAAAAATTTATGGCGAGAAGCCAGCGTTGCACTTTAGTAGTAATGACACTCGCGAGTATCGCACGACACTAACAATTTCATACCGAGGACAGAGACATACAGGGAATCGCCGAGATAGCGCGTTATCGGCAATATTTTTTATCGCACCAGGTGCACATCGTTGAGTTGTCATAATTTTTCTCGGGATGTTTTTTCGTTTAGCCAGTGGGGCGATATGCCACCGATAAAAACATTAATTCCTGTCATTAAGGTGTTCAATTAATCCCGGAGTTATCACGAAAATACGGACTGTGGGCGATAATCCTACCCTTGTGGCTGCTTTATTTGTTCATTTTTTTACGGAGACACGAGTTGCTATGACACGTACACAGATAAATTACCGGAGCGACTAAGCGAAGAAATTAGAGATAGGTAAGCACTCACTGGTGGGAATTACAGGAGGAGGTGGATGGGTGGAGAAACAGCTGGGGTCTTCCAACTAAACGCACAAGTTTTCAAATAGCCGCACTCACTCACCGCGGTGAATTATTGTTCTCCGATAAGGGGCCACGCATTCCGCCCGGCCCCACTCCGCTGTGTAATGGGTTATTGTTAATCCGTTGATAATGACGGAAATTGGAGGGCAATGGTACTAATCTAGGTAAAGTGAATCAACATCTTGACGAATTGAGTCAGTTGATTTTTTTTCCTATATTTGGAAACTCTGATAATCGACGGAAATCGCGTGGCGGTTACTTCGAGATATTTCAGGAGCTTGTCGTGCATTTTTTATCGAATTTACTGGATTTTTCAGGTGGTTTTTATGGTGGATTTGTTACAGTTGGGGTGGTTTCCGGTTTTAGGTACACGGAGAGAAATATTCAATAAAAATTACGTATTTTTTCCGTAATTCCGGAGCGAAACGCGGTTGTAGGAAATTTCACGGAACTGTCACGGAATTTTTTCAGAGCGTTCCGTAATTTTTACCTGAATCTTCTGTTAAAAATTACGATATCGTCACTTAAACTTCCTGAGTCGATTTTGTAATCGGTGAGCGAATCGTGAGTTCCGTAATTTTTACTGAACATTTCTCTCCGTGCACAGTGTTGGAAATTTTTTGAAATTTCATGGAAAACATGACAGTAATTCTCATAAGAGTGACATTGAATCGGATTTAGGGGAAAAATGGTTATGAAATTCCGCATTTCAGGTAGAATTCAAGGAAACTCATGAGTTTTAAGTGGGAGTGAGATGGAAATTTCACAACTTGATTGCATTTTCAGTGAAACATGAACATTCGGAAACAAAATTACATAAATTTTCAATTTTTCCCAGAATTTTCCTGAATTGTCATAGTATAATTTAACTGAAAAATCAAATATTTTATTGATTTTTAGATAATTTGAGCAGAAAATCAATAGAATATTTGATTTTTCCTAAAATTTCAGTGGAATGGAAACACGATAAAAATTTCCGGAATTTGACATGAAAAATTCCGACGAAGTAAAAACGAATGTGAAGGTAGCTCGAACAGGCCAATTGCTAGACGGGTAAGGGAAATTCGAGTTTCGTAGTAGGATCTAAAATGAAAGAATCACCTAAATGGGTATATAATGGCTTCCATACCTTCAAGAATATTTTAATTAGCAGAAAAATATTATTTGAAGTGAAAATAACAAAACAAAGAATAATTAAATTAAAAAATAGTTGAACGCAGCCGAAACCCCCAATTTCTGGAAGACTGGGCCATATTTATTTTTATTTATGCAATGTCGACAATAGAAAAAAAGAAAATGATTACATGGTTATACACAAGTAATATTATTGAAAGGTGAAATAATCAGTACAATTTTCATTTTATTCATGGAATATTGAATGCAAGTTGATATCGTTCAGAAACTAATCCCCGTCCAGAAATTGACCTGTTTATCCTACTACGTTTATTACGAAATGTGGAAGAAGTTCTTCATGTGGAGAATTGAATGCAAGTTGATATCGTTCAGAAACTAACCCCCGTCCAGAAATTGACCTGTTTATCCTACTACGTTTATTACGAAATGTGGAAGAAGTTCTTCATGTGGAGAATTTTCAATTTTTTTTTGTTATTCAAATTTAATAATATTTTTTACAATATGTGCCAGTGTAACTACTGAATTAGAATAAATTGGGTGTATGGAATAAATTTGAGCAATTCTCAATAAATTAAATGCAATTCAACGGGAATTAATGAAACATATGACTCATCATCATCTCAAATAACGATGATTAGAGGGAACTAGTACAAAATAAGGTAAAGTGTATGTTGATGTAACATGTTGACGAGTTGATTCAATTGAATTTTTGTTTACACTTGGAAACTTCGATAATCGATAATCGATAATCAGCGATTTCCGGAGTTTATCTTGCATTTTTAATCCAATTTACTGGATTTTTCAGTTGGTTGTTTTACAATAAATTTGTTCCAGTCGGGATGGCTTCCGGTTTTAGGTAGATCGAAGCGCACTATTTTGAAGTCAGAACAAATGTGAAGTTGCTACGAAATCTTTTTTTTATTTATTACTACAAAATTTTGAAGTAGTTTTGCATCTGGAGAATTGTCTAATTTGTTTAAATGGAAATTCATGTGCAGGTGTTACCTAAATTTTACAATATTTCTAACAATATGTGTCAGAGTCGCTACTGAATCGAAATAAATTGGTTTTATGAAATATATTCGAGCAATTCTCAATAGATTAAAGGCAATTCAATGGGTTTTAATGAAAGCCATGACTCATCATCATCTCGAATAACGGCGATGGGAGGGAACGGGTATAAATCAAGGAAAAATGTCTAACATCTTGGCGAGTTGATTCAACTGAATTTGTTTTTTCCCACTCTTGCTAACTCTGATAATCGACGGAAACCACTTCGGGAGTTTATCATGCATTTTTCATCCGATTTACTGGCCTTTTCAGTTGGTTGTTTTCACAGTGGATTTGTTCCAGTTTGGATGGCTTTTGGTTTTAGGTCAATCGAAGCGCAGGATTTCCAAGTGAAAACAAATTTGAAGGTACTATAAATTGAAGAGCAGTGAAATTTCCGCTGAATGCAGTTCTTCCCATGGAGAATTTTCCGATTACTGGAATCACTGGAATTTTTATTTTCTGACCCTCATATAATAATAATAATAATAATAATAATAATAATAATAATAATAATATGTAATAATTATAAAACTGAAAAATCAATTATTTGAAATAATAATAATTATTGATGTTGTAATTTATGTCTCATGAAGTCTTCACGTCATTAATTTATAGTACAATTGCTGAGGACCGCTGAGGTCATACGTTACAACATCAAAAAATCATGAAATACATGAACGGTCAAAAAAATCTTGCTGGAATAATAATTATTATCAGTAAAATGAAGGTGAAGGGAATTATTAGTCTAGGCTCCGTGCAGGTTCGTTGCAGAGGCGAAGTATTGTTCATTTATTCGAAAAACGATTACCACCTTTTAATAATAATTCGGAGTTCTTGAAATTTTAAAAAGTCTCAAAAATTTCTGTTGAGATGAAACTGGTTTTTCAAAATGAATTTCAATAATTCTTCATAAGGAATGTTGAAAATGAATGTGATTTGGTAGGAATTAATGAGAAATATTACTCTTCATCGCCGTCATCGTAAAAGTTGAGTATATCACCACCTCGGGGAGTTGACTCAACTGAAATTTTTCCCATCCCGTGAAAACTTTAATAATCGATGGAAAGCACTTAAAAAGTTATTCCGGAGTATTTCTGGAGTTCATCATGCATTCTTAATTCGATGTTCTTCCTTTTTCAGGTGGTTGTTTCACGCTGGATTTGTTTCGATTGAAATGACTTTTCCAGTTTCTGAAATGTCAGCCTCGAGGTATTACTAAAATAAATTCTAGAGGATGAGAGGCTCACTGATTTTTATGCCGAAGGCAGGCGTGTGGATTGTGAATATTAATGTAGCGTTTATTTTATTCTGGACTATTAGGAAATTACCATTGAAATTTCGAGTAAAAAACCTCGACATTTTTAACAACTGCTAATATTTGCTAAATTTGGTTTTACTCAACCCGGAATAACCCTCTTATTCGAACTGCAACATCATTTTCACTCACGGTTGTAATTGACCATAAATAAACGGTTTATGAACTATTCAGTAGCGAAGCGGTAAACCGAGTTAAGTCAATTTTGACTTTGGCCAGTTTTTTATGAATATCTCTGAATCTCAGAGAAATAGCAAAATTTTCTAATTACCTTTTTTACAACCCTCAATTGGCTCTACAAAAGAAGTCATGATAATAATTTTTGTATCTCGTTTAGATTTCGAGATATTTGTCAAATACTGACCAATACTTTTCCATACAGTAGACTCCCGCTATATCCGCATGCCTGGGGTTGCGAATTCGGCGAATGTGACCATATTTCTACTGCACATTGTTAAAAAATTTTCACTGAAATTTTCAGTAAAAGCCGTGAAAATTTCTAACAAGACGTTTTGTCATTGAAAACTCATAATTTTATGGAAAAATCCGGGAGAATTGGAAATTTTAGTTCGATTATTCCGGGAAAATTAATGAAAAATGACGAAAATTACGAAATCTTTACTTGAATTGTAGATTCCGCTGAGTTTTGAGGAAATTCTTCCCAAAGATCCTGGAGTTCCAAGAATTTTTAGGAAATTTTCCACTAAATACTCATTTTCACTTGAAAATTCATGAGAATTGTGGAATTTGCGTCTTCCTGTCACTGAAAAAATGGGACTTCTCTTGAAATTCCAGAGAATCTTAGAATTCTATTGACTTGTTCCCCTTAAATCAAATTCAAGGTTTTTTCTGGAAAATTCTGCCAAATTTTGTTAACAGTGCATGCGCCCTATTTTTCGAGCATTTACTGTCAGTGTTTTTCATTTACGATCTCTTGGAAAGGCGAAACAATAGCGCATCTCAGAAAACATGTTTACATTCGGGAGTCGAGAGGGGTAGAGAGTTGGGATGAAAGTCTTCACGCTGACGAAAAAGTGATCAAGAGGAAATGTGGCTACAACGAGAGTCTAGG